TAAATCCCTACCAAGCCAGCCTGACGATTTTGAGCTAGCACAGATTTAACGTCGAACAACTTTGTATGGCGATTCAGAATATATTTCATAGTTTAGGTCTTAGAAGAGATAATAAAAATATCATATATATATATATATATATATATATATATATATATAATCCCATATTTCAAACGTGCTAATTCATCATGCTTATAAGTTTTATGTAATATAACCATACACATAGTAATCACAATGTTAATGAATATAATTATGTCTAATATATAAAAAGTAATTCAAAACTAATAAATGTTTTTAATCTTTTAATTACCGACGGTACTTATATGTACAACTCACTTTAACCATTTTTACGAATACTCTGACGATACTTAGCAGAAACATTTTTTAAATCCACTCTTCCAAGATAAATATGGAAGCACTGTTTCTATGATGAGTATTTTAGCGGGGAAGGCTAATAGTTTAATAGCTGAAATAGCGTTTTCAACTGGCATTTTGATCGGATTGTGAAGACTGTCATTTTTGTTCCAAAAAAGTAGTTAATGCCAAAAGGTAAGTGTCTTATTTTTTATGTATGTTAGTGAAGACCTTAGAAAACTAATTGACTATTTATTTTAAGTAAACATTGTATATAATTAATTTTACAGTTGAACATCTTTAATTAACTAATTAGCTCTAACGGATTAAATTACCCAAAAGTTGAGTATTTTGTTTATGTATATCTGTTAACTTTTTCAACGTAGTGATTCAAAAAAAAATACTGCATGAAAAAACTGCTGTAAATAATATGGCGGTAGACGAAGGTTTGAAATGGTAAAAGAATTCGATATATAATATAAAAAGGTTATATTTTAAATTTATTAAAAACTAAAAAATTTAAAGAATTTTACAATATTTGTTAGTAATGAGTAGAAGAGGGGTTCAAGAAAAAAACCAATGTCCCAGAACATATTTTTTGAGCTATAATAAAATAAACAGACGAACGAGCTGAGAGAGAGAGAGAGAGAGAAATCTCTCACAGTTCTTGAGATTTTTCATACTATGCCATGAGAAGATTTTCAAGCTCAGATGAGCGGCCGCGGTAGCCGAGTGGTATAGGTATCGGACCGTGGCTTGCTTTGTCACGGGTTCGAGCCCAGTACCACTAAAGAGCCGCCGTGTAGGGCAGCGATGCACGTTAAATCTGTCGAGAGCTGAAACGTCCTCCCGTTGGTGTGGTAGTTAGGAGAGGGGGATGCCAGCTCAGGTGTCGTCCACGTCACTTGACCATGGTTCAAAATTACGTGGTCCGTCGCCAAAAGCCCTCGTGTAGCTGAACAGTGCGACGTTAATATTCTATCAATCACTCAATCAAGCTCAGATGAATATTAAGGGTGATAAATTACTTAATTTGATTCAGAGGTCTCTTATAGAATCGGGATAAGAATCCATGATCCACTGATCGCAAAGTCGGATCCTTGCTACGAGACAGCCTTTGTTTCAACTTATAGAGAATTGAAATATTCAATTTGATCAATAATTAATAAATCTGGAGATGAAATTTTTCCCTCCTGCATATTTGGTTAATTTTTTTTAAATGGTTTCTTATGTGTTTTTATTTAATATATGAATTAACTTTTTGGAGTTTCAAACAAGCAGCCTTTCAATCTAGCAATTAAAGAATATTGCACGGATCTCGTAAACTTTAAGTGTAAAATGTTCTATCTATTTTAACCGAAAAAAATCATTTTCCGCTTAATATTTTAAGGAAAAATAATACTTTAAAAATTACTTAAGTGCTGGAAAAATAATATTACCATCAACAAAAACAAACAAGAATAAAATAGAATGGCAAAATAAGAATTTATTTGTGCGTGCACGCATGCACGCACACAGAGAGAAGATGGACAATTAGTTGAGTTAAACACTTTGATTATATTTCAAGTTTTTTTACTAAGCAAAAAAATCAGTATTACTGTCAATTTATTTTAGATTAATAACAATATTTTATAGTTCGAATGTTTATATAAAAATCTTACTTTTATCTTATAGTATATTACTTATTTTTGTGTAAATTTACAAGTACATATACTCTAACATTCATTTATCGTGTACTCATTCTTAAAATTTGAAATATTTTTTGGATAATATGTAGCTTTATCATTTTCTCTGTTGTAAAAATCACTCAATTTTTCACTTAAAATTGTCAGCATTAAAAGATTATTAAAACATTTATTTTGTTATGCGTAGGTATATTTTATTTGATGTTACTCTCCAAAAGTTCACATCCTACCAACGTGAGGACTTTGAGTCTCGACAGATTTAACGTAATCCCTCGCCACGACGGATCTTTGATGGTACCAAGAAATCAATTTGTTCAAGTTTCTATTAATTTAATGTAAAAAGAGTAGTATTGTAGAGTTAAGATTATTAAGCTGTTTAAGCTGTGAAAAGATAAATATCAGAAATAATTAAAAAAGAAACCTCTGTACAATATTTGAATGAATTATAAACCACCACACATACTGAATAGAATAAAATTCCATTAATCCTGCATTCATTGCATATTTTACATTAGTCATCTGATATCTAACGCATTTATTAAAATAAGTATAAACTTCACTCACAAATATAAAATAATTAAATTGCAACTTAATTTTTTTGAGCTTTTTCTTTTGTTTTTTAGTAAAATGTACATTAGAGTAAATAATAAGATATAAAATTTGCTTTATTAATCAGATGTTAGTAAATATTTGTCTTTGAATGTTTTACAGTATATACTGGTATACAGTGGCGCACATAAGGGAGGGGGTCCCCGGGTCCGGACCCCTATAGCCCTTGATTTTTTTATTGATTATAATCCTATGTATATAGTACGCAATATTTAATTAAGTATTTGTTATTAATAAAATTAATTTTATTAATTAATGCTAATTATTTATTCAATAGTTAATTTTTTTACCATTTTTTGTTCTCGAAAATCGACAAAGTCAAGACAAAGTGTTGGGCAAGCGTATTGGGGCATGATTCGAGAATGGTAGATTTTCAACTCTTCCCCCTCCCCCTCTGAACAATTCCTGTGCGGGAATATCATAATATATTTCCCAATACATGTACCGTAATATATTTTGCAGTATGTTTAGAACATATATATATTTGTTATTATGTATAAGAAAAGGAATTATAAATCATTATAGACATGTCATGGGAGATATAAAAATAGAGATTCATAAAGAAATTTTTGAGAATGTTTTTTAAAAACCCCTTAGCCCCTGCTTTTTTTCAATGCCGCATGGAACATCTTGCGAAAAAATAACTTGTAAACAATTAGTCACAGTTTTGTACACGAAACAATGGATAATATTGGAATTCCATCATTGAAAAGTTTTTCGAATATAACAGTTGATAACGTGTAACAGAAGCATACAATTTCCAGAATGTTAACCACCGGATAATGATCAAAAAGTTCGAATGAACTGAAACGTAGCAGTACAGTTCTCCCATTAGTTGAAAAGTGTTTGCAAAGATAGATAACTGGTACAATAATCAGCAAAATCCATTATGTGCATAAAAATGGCAAGACTCCGGCATTTACGAATCGGAGTACTTTAGCATTTAACTACTTAATACTTGTTGAAATTGGACTACACAAAATAATACCCCTTAACTATTCAGATAACTATCAAAAACGAAATAAAAGAGACCGTTATCAATTTGTTAATACCCCCTTTGAAAGGTCCATCTCCTATTAAACTATCTATGATGCTGTGAGGCGAAGCGTGAATACAGGCGCTGAGGTGGTTTCGGCTTTCAATGAGTTTCGTGTTTATCGGGGGGAGGGTCCTCTCTTTCATGCCCCGCTTTTGAGGCCGCCGCCAACCCCTTTTACAGCAGACGATTTTCATGTCCCGTATTAACAGTTTCCGCTCTCGAATTAAAAGGAATTGCGTTCAAAAGAATTCTCTTCCACATTCTGGCAACAGTCCCTATCTGAAAGAACCTGGAATTGGAGGGGAGAGGGTGTATATACACTTCCTGATATTTGTCTTCACGCTAAGAATGTTCTTGTTAAATGGATTAACGGACTGTCTCCCACGACAAAAGTTCCTGCTAAAGAGGAATCTCTTCTTCCTTCTGAATATATACGATAAATTAAAGCAAGGTTCGTGTAAATATTAGCACTGGTACCCTTGTAATGGAATTCCTTTTTGAGGCTAGTTAGTCGAGGATGAAAAGATTCCTCCTTTTGATTCGCCACATGCTGGTATATTGATGAAACGGCCTGCCTTTTGAAGGGGAATTTTAATACCTTGTAGCATTTCCATAAACTTCTGGTTTCAGCGGTTTTGTGAATGGTTGTTATTAAGTTTGGTTAGGGAGATTAGGGTTATCTTTTCAGCACGAATTTACACGGCTCTTTTGATAAAAAGGTAGATTTGGGCAAATTGTTTTGCAGCCAACTTGTTTACGTCGTAGAAATTGTTGGAACATGATAGAGATTGTTATAGAAGATATGACCTATAATGCAAAAAATTGTTTATATTCAAAGTACTTTTCCCATTGTCGTTAGCGTTTCCAAGGTACTTCACTGTAAGTTATGTTGTAACTTGCTTATGCCCCAGAAATTTCTACAGTATTGTAACTTTTTTTTATTGTACAAATTATGCCCTATGATGTTGCGTTAATGTTTCTAGAAGTATATCATAATAAGTTTTGTGCTAAGTCTGTTTATATCGTCAAAGTTGCTGCAATATATGATGGCAATTTTTTAATTCCTACTACTAATTCACTCTCTCCTTATATATATATATATCTTGTTCAAATCTTCAATCATTAGTAAAATAATTTCTATACATCCACATTCAAGAGTTCAAATACATTTTTTAAACTTGTAGTGGATGACACTTGATGTTAATACAGTTTTTTCAAATATTCATTCATTCATTAAATTAAAAAATGAATAAGTAATAACAAACAAAAATAATAGTCCAAGAGCATGTATTGAAAGGAAACTCGTTCGTTGTGTCCCTGTAGCGCAATGAATAGCGCGTTGGACTTCTGATCCAAAGGTCGTGGATTCAAATCTCACTTGAGATAACCTAATTTCTGAGAATGTAATTTCTTTTTCACTATACTATTTTAGTACAATAATTAAATTTAATGAATGAATTAATAGTAACAAAAAATAGTCCAACATAGAAGGGAAAATGGAAAATTGTAAGGAAAATCGCTTTCTATTTTACCACTTAATATTGTGATTCTGCCGTATCTATATACATATTTATGTTAATTGTAGCTGTTTGATAAAAAAATAACTAAAGAATAAAATTTTTCTTTGTCGACCTAAGTAGGAATTGACTTGAAATCTTTTTTTATATTGCTTGTTGAAACTGTACTTATGTAGTTTCTTTTTCACTACTTGTTTGTTTAGCTCGTTTTTATTTACGTTGTGCTAACGCAGCAGTACGAGAGCTATTAGCGAGGGAACTCGGATTTTAGAACCACAGTGAAATGAACAGGGACAATAACTGATCCGGTGCATCACTCTTCTATCTTTCTCATCACGTTACGTAAGAATTTTGAGGCTCAGTTCCTTTTAATGAGAGGCAGGCCCATTATTCTGCACGACTGGCCTTTAGTGGAATTAAGTCTTGAGGCTGCAGGGCAACTGGAGACCGAAAACGTAACGATCATAATCAAGTTATTACAACGGCTCCCAATACCACGCAAATAACGATGTTCTTTATTTTGAGACTGCCAGAACTTGAACAATACATATTTCTCTTTCGTAAAAATATAGGAAAACCCCTCTTTTAAAGGCTGTCAATGTGATGTCTTCAATCAAACAGTTAAAAATTATCCAGTATACATTGAATGAAATTGCTTGCAAGTATTTACGAAAAAGAAATACAATTATTTGTTTGTGCATAGTTTTAAATACGTGAATATTAAAGGTCTCTGTGTAACGGGTTGATCTGCGTTCTTTCTACTAATAGTCCTTTTGTGGAATAATGGGTCTTTAAAAATTATTCTGCTAAAAACCTTCGTTCGAAGAAGGAGATGTGAGAATGTAAATCAAGACTTGTATATAAAGATTAAACTTTCAAGTTAGAGAGAGAGAGAGAGAGAAAGAGAAAGAGAGAGATTAGAGTGCTATAGGATAGCAGTGACTGATTAACTAGGCGAGATCGATTTGTAGCTTATTTGAGTAACATTAAGATTGATGATTTGGTCAATTTGTGACGGGGCTTTCCGTGATTTTTTATTAATCCTCTAGGGGATTCTTTGGGGTCAGCAATTGGGTTATTTCACAGCCATCCCTCTCAAGAAGAAACCTTGATATGCAGATTAGCTAGTACATATATAGTGGAAGTTAAGTAATCGCAGGGTGAAGCAAAAGAAGCTGAGCTGCTGAAAGCAGTACTGTTACGGTAAGGATCGGAATTTTGACGTGTGATTATAGGATGGCTTTAGTTAATAAAATAAATTTAGGAAGCTAGGATTCTGAATATAACTTTGAGTAAAGTTAAGCTATTAGGATTTCGTGTGCTTATTTACATTGGGTTTTGAGCTATCATTCTATCACTCTAGATTTTCCCTCTATAGTTTGCATGTCTTAGATTAGTATATTTTGTAATAATAAATTAGATTTCTCTCATGACTAGTTTGGGTCGTCAATCTTTACATTCTACAGATTTAGGTCGATTAGATGAAGAGATGGCTTCCGCAGGGGGAGGCTATTACAAATTAAGTGTTAAATTGGATTAGGTCGATTTGAACTAATTTTGCCTGGACGTAAGTGGTCCGATTTATTGTTAATACTTCTAGTAACTCGTCTACATCGCTATTGTCTCACATGTTTGTTAAATGATGCATTTCTTAGCTTAGGAAATTGAATTTGAGTCGTTGTTCATAATTGTGAATAAATAGAGTTTGTTTTGAAGATAGCTGATCCCTTCCTTCCGATTCTCTCACACTAATGGACGATGCGAGTCGTCCATTACATCTGTTGTTTTGATACGGATATAAACTTTCAAAATATTACCTCTAATAGTATGTTTACAATGAACAATAGTTCTAGAATTTTCACAATGTACTAATATTATGTAATAAAAATGGAGCATGAGATTTGTTACGTAAAACGTTAGTCATCGTTGATAAAAAATTTCCAGCTTTTATCAATAAATTACATAATGATAGAGCATATAATGCATGTATTATATTTTTTTCAGACGAATTGCAATATACAAACAAATGGATTTTCTTGAAGAAGACAATAACGATAAAACTAATTTTTAATTTTATTTTACACAAAATATAAGTTGTATAAATCTTCTGTAGCTTTGTGCATCATCAATAAATACAATTTGCAATACCCAAGATAAAATATATTCATCTGTAAGCTTTAAATAAGAATAAATAATATTACTTTATTACTACTATTATATCTTTCTCACTGTTTCACAGAAAGAAGATTTTATGTCGCCCTTCCCGATCTAATTATCAATACTATTGTCAGTACATTAATCTAGATTGACATCTAATGCCTAGTCGATGTCAGAAGGGCTATTGTTGTCCATTCTAATCTATTTCTTTCATTACGTAGAGAATCCTCCTAATATTTTTTTTCTGTTATTCTATAAAAACACTTCAGTAGCAACTTGTAAAAAATATATATGTTTAAAGTTTTCAGTTCAGTGGACACATTTTTCAATTCCTAATATTAATTCGATCTCTTCCCTATATATATATATATATATATATATATATATATATATATATATATATATATATATATATATATATTGTTCAAATTTTCAATCGTTAATAAAATACTTTTTATTCGTCCATTCAAGTTAAAATACGTTTTTTAATACTTGTAGTGGATGACACTTAATGTTAATACAGTTTTTTCAAATACTAATTCATTAGTTAAAATGACTAATTAATATTAGTTTTATACGGGAGAAAAAATTAGATTTGTTCCAAATAAAGGCAATAGATGGCGACAAGTATACATTGATTATCCAACTACCAGGTATGAAAAGCTCAATTTGTTTTGCAAGTAGGAATTGATTTTAAAAAGAATCTTTTTTATATTACTTGTTTAACATATATTAAATCATAGCCAATTCCTTGAAAAAGAAAAATTAATCTAAATGTTCTTCTCTTCAATAAACAAATTAAAAATATATTAAATGTAATTGAAAGGGATGATTTTATTTCCTATATTATATTAAAAATATATATTGAAGTAATATATAGAAATTCAGGAAACTGCTTGATCATTAGACATTTTTTTCTTTTCAAGCATGCCCTTCCTTTATTTAATGTTTTAATATATATATTTTCTATTTCCAAGGAAATAAAATAAATTCATATAATTTCATATTTTTTAAAGTGTTAAATTTGTCAAGACACATGAGTCTTCAATTGGTGTGGTGTAGATGTAGAATATGGTGGTTCCCAAACTTCTTTAACCCATAGACCCCTTTTTATAGTCCAAACTTTTTCCCGGACCTCTTTTTATAGTCAAAACTTGTTCTCGCATCCTTTTTTATAGTTAAAATTTTCCCAAGGTCCCCCCCAAGTAGAAAAGTTACATAAATGCATAGTACGAAAATTACAAATTTTTTTAAAAATATTTTGTTGAAGAATTAGTTATTGAAATTATAACTTCTTATTAAAATAAATTTTAAAAAAAATTAATGACTTGGATGAACTTTATGAGATGTTATGAGTGTATTCATGTCCGTCTCAATGTTTGTGAGAAGCAACCGCAAATACCAATGATCACTTGTTTTAGTCGATTCCTTTTTTGTTTGTTTTGAGGTGGAGGTTTTCTTACGGCACTGAATCCACGTTTTACCAGATTGGAATACAGGAAAGTAGTCAAAAACTTCTAACCCTTAATGCAGGGTATAAAATTGGGATCTGTTATTGTAACCAGAATTCGTCTTATCCTTGTTCAAATATTGGTTTGAGTGCCGCGTTTACGGATGTTTCAATGAGATGGATTCACACCTGTGTTTGGGATCTGAGTTAGTTCTCGCGTAAAAGGGTTCAACACCTAATCGGGTGCTTCTAAGTGAATTATTGTCTTTTATTTAAATTTCCACAAAAATAAAAATGGATGAATTTTTTAAAACTTTATATTGAACCTTGCGCGGACCCTGACGTTGTTCAGGAACCCCTAAATCACTTTTAATTTTCCACGGATCCCCTGAATGATATCGGGGACCCCTGGAGGTCCGTAGGGACCACTTTGGGAATCATTGATGTAGAAAGTGTGTGTACTCTAGTGTCGCCCTTGTCATCTGCCCTTGGTCCAAAATTACGGAACATGTTAGCTAATTTTAAGCAGACCGTTAAGCTGATAAAATACTAACTTGAAACAAGTTTGGTTTGTTGAGTTTTAGCTTCAAAAGATTTCATTTATTACGTTAGGGCAATCGCAATAAATGAAGAATCCCTTTTTAATTGCAAGTTTTAATTTACATAAGCACAAAAAGCTATCAACAACAAAACACAACAGAAATACAGGCACATAGTTAAGGACGAAAAAAGAAATCGCTTTTCTTTTTTTAAAGGATCCGATCTTATACTGGAAGCTCCAGAATTTCCTTAACCCCTTAAGTGCCGCCACCTTATATATCCTTTTTATTGAGCCGTTGCGTTGAGTGCCCCAGACGTATATATACGTCATTCCAAAGTACAATTCCTTTCTTTGAGCTTACATAAGTAAAACTGTTCAGAAAACTTTGGAATGCAGTAAAATAAATTTGACAGAATTTGCGAAACATTTACTTATTTTGGAGAAAATTTGTTTATTTGTGCCTTCCTTTCCCTTCCAATACTTCCCATATGCACGCCTATGTGTAAATGATGTCATTGGAGAGTGATTTGTGCTACTTTTAATCGGCAGTTAAGGGGTTAACATATGATTTCCCGGTTTTAGCAGTCTCATTTATCAGAATCAGGGGTTGATGCAATATTGCATCATCTTACTTCAGAATTTTACGACGCAGCACTTTTCGGCAGTTAAAACTGTATTTCCCGTTAAGGAGGGGGAAAAAGAGCAAAGGACAGCTCAAGAC